GTCTTGTTCCCTTTCTTAAGGGAAATGCTTTTAGTTCTTACCCACTGAGCATGATGTTGGCTATAAGTTTTTCATATATGACTTTTATTATGTTGAGATATTATTCCTCTGTTCTCACATTGCTGAGTATGTTTATCAGAAATGGGTACTGAATTGTGTCAAATGCTTTTTCAGCATCTATTGAGATGATCATGTTTCATTTTGTTTATGTGGTGTATCACTTTAATTGATTTGCTAATATTGTACCATCCTTGCATCGCTGGGATGAATCCCATTTGGTCATGATGAATAATTTTTTTGATGTATTGCTGGATCCAATTTGTGTTAATATTTTGTTAAGGATTTTGGCATCTGTGTTTATCAGGGATATTGGCATGTAGTTTTCTTTCTTTGTAGTGTCTTTATCCAGTTTTGGAATTAGGATTATGTTGGCCTCATAAAATGAGTTTCAAAGTGTTCTGTCTTCTTGGATTTTTTGGAATGGTTTGAGGAGAATGGGTATTAGCTCCTCTTTGAATGTTCGGTAAAACTCACCCATGAATCCATCCGGGCCTGGGCTTTTGTTTGCTGGGAGTGTCTTAGTTACAGCTTCAATTTTCATTGTTCTTGTTGGTCTGTTTAAGTTTTCTATCTCTTCCTGGTTCAGTTTTGGGAAGCTGTGTGTTTTTAGAAATTTGTCCATTTCTCCTAGATTGTTCAATTTGTTGGTGTATAATTGTTCATAGTATGTTTCATGATCTTTTGTGTTACTGGTGCCAATTGTTACTTCTTCTCTTTTGTTTCTGATTTTGTTTATTTGGTTCCTCTCTTTTTGTTTCTTGGTGAGTCTGGCTAAAGGTGCATAGATCTTGTTTATCTTTTCAAAGAACCAGCTTTTTGTTTCATTTATCTTTTGAATTGTTTTCTTGATCTCTACATCCCTGTGTTTATTTCTGCTTTGACCTTTACTATTTTCTTTCTCCTGCTAGCTCTGGGTTTTTCTTTTTGTTTACTTTCTAGTTTATTAAGTTATAGGGTTAGAAGGTCAATTAGGAATTTTTCTTGTTTCTTGAGGTAGGCCTGTAGAGCTATGAACTTCCCTCTCAGGATTGCTTTCACTGTGTCCCATAGATTTTGTGTTGTTGTTTGTTTGTTTTTATTGGTTTCCAGGAAGTTTTTAACTTCTTTCTTGATCTGGTTAGTAACCCATTTGTTGTTTAAAGCATGCTATTCAGCCTTCAAGTGTTTGAATGTTTTTGTGTGTTTTTATTATAATTGAGTTCTAGTTTCATGCCACTGTGATCTGAGAAGATGTTTGATATGATTTCAGTCTTCTTGAATCTGTAGATACTTGCTTTGTGTCCTAACATGTGGTCTGTCTTTGACAATGGCCCATGTGCACTTGAGAAGAATGTATATTCTGCAGCTTTGGGGTGAAATGTTCTGTAAATATCAATGAAGTCCAACTGATCTAGTTTGTCTTGTAAGGACTCTATGTCCCTGTTAATTTCTTGTCTAGAAGATCTATCCAGTGGTGTCAGTGGCATGTTAAAGTCACCCACTGTGATCGTATTGCTATTGATCTCTCCCTTGAAGTCCTCCAGAAGTTTTTAAATATATTTTGTTGCTCCCATATTTGATGCGTATATGTTTACCAGGGTTATATCCTCTTGTTGGATTGATCCTTTTAATATTATGTTGTGACCATCTCTGTCTTTTACAATGGCCCTCGTTTTGAAGTCTATCTTGTCAGATATGAGTATTACTATACCAGCTTTTTTTTCATTTCCATTTGCTTGGAAAATGATTTTTCATTCCTTCACTTTTATCCTGTGTGAGTCTTTTGTTGTGAGGTGGGTCTCTTGTTTCTTATCCAATCAGCTACCCTATGCCTTTTGATTGGAACCTTTAAGCCATTTACATTTAAGGTTATTATTGATAGATAGTTATTAGTTGTCATTTTTATTTTATGTCTGTGTTCTTCTCTCTTTGTTTCTTCTTCTTCTTCCAACAGTCCCTTCAGCATTTCTTGCAGTGCTGGTTTGGTGGTGGTAAATTCCTTTAGTTTTTTTTTTTGTTTTGTTTTTTGTTTTTGTTTGTTTTTGTTTTTTTTTTATCCACAAAGCTCTTTATTTCTTCATCAATTTTGAATGGTAGCCTTGCTGGATAGAGTAGTCTTGGATTCAGACCCTTGTCTTGCATTACTCTGTACACTTCATGCCATTCCCTTGTGGCCTGCAGTGTTTCTATTTAGAAATCACTTGACAGTCTAACGGAAGCTTCCTTGTAGGTAACTTTCTGTCTCTCTTGCTTTGTTTAAGATTTTTTTTTTTTGTCTTTAATGTTTGCCAGTTTTTATTATGATGTGTCTAGCTGTGGGTCTTCTGGGGTTCATCTTGCTTGGGACTCTCTGTGTTTTCTGGACTTGCGTGACTTTTTTATTCACCAGTTTAGGGAAGTTTTGTGTCATTATTTCTTCATACAGGTTCTCTATTCCTTTCTTTTATTCTTCTCCTTCCGGTACCCCTATAATGTGAACGTTGTTATGTTTTGTACTGTCCCAGAGCTCCTTTAAACTCTCCTCCTGCTTTTTAAACTTTTTTTCCAATTTCTGCTGTATTTGGGTGTTTTTCTTTACCTTGTCTTCTAAGTCACTGATTCGGTCATCAACTTCTTCTAATCTACTGTTGAACCCTTCTAAGGTATTTTTCATAACAGCTATGTCATTCTTTATTTCCTCTTGATTTTTTTGCATAGAGTCTACCTCTTTATGCATAGCTTCTACCTCTTTTTTTAAGCTGAAGTAGTTTCCAGTAAGGTCTTCATAATTCTTATTAAGTTGCTTGTAGTTTTTACCAAATTGTTTGAGCACCCTTAAAATCATTGCCTTGAATCCTTTATCTGACAAGTTGCTTTCTTTCATTTCCTGTAGTTCCTTTTTCAGTGATTCTTCTTTTTCTTTTCTTTGGGTGTTGTTTCTTTGTTTCTCCATTTTAGCCATCTAGTAGCTCTATACCCGGTGAGAGATGTTTGGATGTGTAGGCAGCTCAGTGTATATCGAATAAGGCTACTGTGCCTCCCAGACTGTTCTGTTGTGTGTGGCCTCTTGCCTGCTGTGGGTCCTGGAGGATTGACTACTGGAGGCTGGTATTGGTGTGTCCTGGTAGGTGCTGCTGCTGGATTGCGTGGGCCCCTTTGAAGCTGTGTCCCCCGCTGGTCACTGGTGCCATCTGTAGCTGTATTGCTCAGGCCCTGCTGGAGCCGCACTCCCTGTCCACATCTTGGGCGGCTGGGTCACATGTCCCTCTGGATCCCCAGCTCCGCACTGCTCTTGTGGGGCGCTGTGTTGCACCTACCTCTATGGATCCCTGGCTCCCCACTGCTCTTGTGGGCTGCTGGGTCACACAGGCTTCTGTGGATCCCCAGCTTCCCACAGCTCTTGTGGGCAGCTGTGTTGCACAGTCTCCTGTGGAGCCCCACATCCTGTCGCTGGTGGCTGGAGAGTGCTGCTGCCAAGTGGGGCTCAGCTCCTGCTCAGCTTTTGTTGGGGCTGGTTCTCTGCTGCTTGTCTGTGCTTCTGTTGCCTGGGGATGGATGTCTGCTCCCCAGCCTCTGTTGCTGGGGGTATATCTGGACTCTGATCAGGCTGCTACTGTGGGGAATGGTGCTGGGCTCCTGGCCATTTGCAGTTTGTGCAACTGTCACCTTGACAGCTCCACTACTGTGCACTGGTCTGTGTTGACACGGGTCCACTGGTCTGTCCCATGGTGCCAGGTGCACTGGTGGGCTCAGGTTGCTGGGCCCTAGCTGCTCCCACTGCCTCCTCCCAGGGAAGACCCAGGATCTTCCAAAATGGTGGGACCTTCCCGTGGCACAGGGAGAAGCTCCCTGTAGAGCCTCTTACCGCAGTAGCCGGCTGATCCCCGTCCACAGCACAGGAACCTTCTGCTCTGTGTCTCTGTACTGCACAAGTTTGGTTGTCCACCCTCATGTCCACTCACTCTTTCACACATTAGCTCACTCTCTCATGCACTCACCTTCCCTCAGGTCCTGCCCACCACATTTTTTTCTATCCTTCAGAGGTGTATGAGGTTATTGAATCACACATTTTTATGGCTCCATCCACCTCTGTTTATCTGCCATTGTGTAGACTGCCATGCAAAATTATTTAGGATTAGAATGTGTAGTACTATTTGCTTATGATGTTGGTCTTATTTAATGACAACCTAAGGAAAAGTTGCAGAGGCTGTGACGATCCAGTCTTCTATGTGCAGAAATCACAAATGGACATGTTTGGGAGCCTGATGAAACACATTCTTATGCAGACATTGGTGTAGTAACTAAAGCAGCAGTTCTCAACCTGTGGGTTGAAACCCCTTTGGAGGTCGAATGACCCTTTCACAGGGGTCACCTAAGACATAACAGTAGCAAAATTAGTTATGAAGTAGCATCGAAAATAATTTTATGGTTGGGGGTCACAACAACATGAGGAACTTTATGAAAGAGTCATGACATTAGGATGGTTGAGAACCACTGAACTAGAGAATGGCACAGTTTGAACACATTACTGAGGGGCCAGAGTGCATCCACTTCATCCTTAACCCAGGATGAGAGGAAGAGCTTGCGGAAGGACTGCTTGTTTATCATCTTCAAATTTTGTAAAAAGGATCCTTACTGTACTGTGCTGTGATTAGGGCCAGCCAATTCCCACAGTAATACAGGATCTGTGTGAAGGAGGAAGCTGGGAAGCTGCTTCTCTCTGTCTGTTAGCACATCACCTTCACATAGGAATACATATGTGCATAAAAATCATCCAAATCATATAGTGTATTTTAATTTCATGCAAAAGTAAACAGCATTGCAACCCATGTTAATGTCAGTTCTGTACAGTAGAAAATGTGGGAAAATAAAATCCTCACATATATTTTAGCTTCCTTTTTTTTGTTTCTTTGGTTCACTGTATTCTTTATCTGTTTTTTTTTTGTTGTTGTTGTTTGTTTTTTGTCTTGTTTTTTTCTAAGTGGAAGAAGACACAGAAGAAAGCTCAAGATCAGGGAGAGAGTCTGTGTCCACAGCCAGTGACCAGCCTTCATATTCTCTGGAGAGACAAATGAATGGAAACCAAGAGAAAGGAGATAAGACTAATAGGAAAAAGGATAAAACTGGAAAAGAGAAGAAAAAAGATAGAGATAAGGAAAAGGATAAAATGAAAGCCAAGAGGGGAATGCTGAAGGGCCTGGGAGACATGTTCAGGTAAGTCTTGACCAACCCAAATTAGATCATTCCTCAACATATGTATGAGTTTAATTTAAAGAAATACTGAATCACAGATTCGACACATTATGTTTGAGGTCAAGCAGAATTATTTTCTAATTTCCAGTCTTAGCTACTTCATTTTTGCATTCTTAGCAATTCCACTTTCTTTATTTTAGACCATTTTAGCAGCCTTAAAGATGGTATCTTGCCAACTATGGAAATGCTGTTGAGAGGAAGGTGTGTTAGCATAAAAGTGACAGCCCCATGGAGACAAGGGCTGTTAAAGCAGTGTTTGTTCTTTTGTGAGTGGGAACAATGGTTCATTATTTAAATTTAACATAGAGCTCAAGTTAGCGTTAGCATTTAAAGGTTCATTAATAACAAGTCTAATAAAAAATGTTATAAATAGAGCTTCAATTAAGTTGTATTGATTAATTTAATGTGTGTTACTTCAATCTGTAAAGATTTCATTAAATATAGGCCCTGGCTATATTCTGGCAACAGTTTTTGTGTCTCTAAATTATATTCTAAGATTACTTAGCTTATCATTCTTTACAAATCATTGCTATACAATGAAAGTGACAAGTTTTTCAGAAGTTGCACTGCAATTCTTCTATAAATAAATGGTCATCAAAGGTGATTTATAATACGTAGGCATTTAATGTGCAATATAAAGATTACTTTTGATTGTTCTATAACTTAAACCCCTGAACTATTATGATGATGGTAAATTTTAAAACATACAGCATACTTACTCAACTCTTCAAAAAGTAGTTATCCTACATTGTGAATCCCTTCCTTTTACCTTTTTTAATTGACAATGTGAATGAGCTTTTATTTTCATCGAATTACTTTATTGATGAATCTGAGGTTGACCTCAATAACTCAGAGAGTTATAGGTATGTCAAGCCTGCAAAGTTGAGGACTTAGGGTCCAGCCTGCATGCTACACAATACAACAGATGTGTTTTGTAGATGACTGATTAAGTCAAGTGCATGGAAGAAGTAAGCTATAGATGGAGATAACAGAAAACCTGGACTATTAGCCCTGTCAGCCTTAATTCAGATACAACTGGATTTCCATCTCCAGTGCCTCACATTTGGATTTTCATAGTTTTACATTAGAGTTTTTATGGTTTATATACTGATGCTTCTGAATTGCATTTTAAGTCAGATCATCTTTTTTCATTATATTCCATGTCCAAGAACACTTGGGGTGAAATGGCCCTAATTTTCACTTTATCTCAGTTCTGTGTTAGCCAGGGGTTTTTCATTCCATATATGCAGACTGACAGTTCATAAACTGGCATCTATATAACACACAGAAATAAAGCTGTTGCTTATTAATAAAAATTTTAGAAATTTGTACTACTCTATTCTTTAAATTAGAGAATATGAGTGGGAAGCGTCTCCTGAGACTTACAGAACCTACTTGGAGCCCAGTCTCATTTCCAGGGTTTTTCCTGAAGTCTTATCAAAAGCTAATTGCCTGTTAGTTTTCATTCATCATCTAACAGTTATTTACCAGATACAGTGCTCTGTTCTCACGGAATAGCGAATAAACAAACTTTTAGTTTGTTTATTTTATAAATTAGGAATTATTTTAATTGTGTGTGTGTGTGTGTGTGTGTGTGTGTGTGTGTGTATAGTAACTTGTAACTCCAGAATAAAAGAGGCCTTATGGTAGAGTTTTCTTTTGGGGGGGAAGGGGGGCTGTGGGGAAAATGTATATCATTTCAAAGGGACCCTGAAGTACAACACAGCCCAACCCTCCTTTTGCTAAAAGTTCTGTGAAGTACTATAAGATGCTCTTTTCTAGATCAAATTCTATAGCTTATACCTATAACCAGCTTTGTGATGAAGAACTGGACCCATTTATACTTTGAAGGCCTGCATATTCTTAAAAATCAACTTCCATGTTTAGGTGCAGGGGCTGAAGGTTTTTTGTTTTGTTTTGTTTTGTTTTTGATAATTAAGTTTATATTTTTATATTCTTCCAATATTTAAGAATGGCTATTAGGAAAATCAGAGATGTCTATGCTTTTTGGGTACATAGCATATAAATGTTTTGTTAGAGTTAGTCCACATTGGCTTAATACGTTCTTTAAAATAAAGTCTCTCACTTCCCAATTATTTTATTACATTTTACTATAATCTCTGCTTCTTCAGTGATTGACACCACTTGTATGGCATGGTGCTGGCACTACATAGCAGCTCTTCTCCGTTCCACCTTTCGAGACATCACGCTGCTAGCATCAAGTCAGCCACTTTGGGAATACTTACATCATGGCAGTGTATGAATTCCACAGAACTGAGCTATTTCTCCCAGGGGAGCAGCACACCACTGTGGGGGAGGAAAAATAAATTTTCTGCTACCCTTCTAAGTTCTTCCAGCTGGACAAATGATCAGATTAACAAGAGAAAATGACCAAATGTATTATGTAGGCACATATGGGTGTTCCCTAAGAATATAGAACCTGCCATCTAACAGTGGGACACAGAGAGGACTTTGACTAAATGGCTCTCGGTAGGTTCCTCCCTGCCTATCTGGGAAGAGCTCTCTATCTAAATTCTTTTAGGCAGGTAGGAGGAAGATCAAAGGTTTTTCTTGAGTCTTTCACTCATTAAAAATAACTAGCTTTAAATAATATCTTTAAAAAAGGGCATATTATGGGGTGGCAATCTCAGCTTCCCCTCACCACCACATGGAGAATGTAAATATGTTTTAAGCAGAGTTCTATCTTGTCTACTCCCCTCGATCATGGCTGTCTGCTTTCTGACTGCAAACCAGTGCTTCGTCCCTTTGGGAAATGGTTGAAGCTTACCAAATACTGCCCCTTGGAAATGAGTTGAGAATAATTTATTAAACATAAAGTAAGTGTCTTATTGTTGGCTCTCACTCATTTCTTTTTTTTTTTATCCTCACCCGAGGACTATTTCCCATTTTTTTGTTCAGGTAGAGTGGGAGGGAGAGAGAGGAACAGAGAGAGAGAGAGAAACATTGATGTGAAGGGACACATCAAGTGGCTGCCACCCGCACGACCGACCAGGGCCGGGGACAAACTGCAACCGAGGTACATGCCCTTAGCCGGAACCGAACCTGGGTCTCTCAGGACCGCAGGCCGACGCTCCAACCGCTGAGCCAAACCGGCCAGGGCTCTCACTCATTTTTTTATACAATTATTATATCTCCTTAATATTGGAGAAGACTCTTAAAGCATTGTTAAGTTTTTCAAAACATTTTTTAACTGCCTTTCATGTCTACTGGATCTAATCATTTACTAATAGACTCTCAAGTTGATTCTTTTACGTGTTTTTAGTAACACAGGGAATATAGTACAATTTTAAAATTAGTAGCTTTATTTTATTTATTTTTTGTTCTTTTAAATAGGATGTGCTTTTCTTAGCAAGGTTGTTTTAAATAGCTTAATATAAATGTATATACATTTCTTAAAACAGTTTGTAAGGAGATTCAAGTATGGATTGCCCCAAGGTTGGCCTGAACTACACAGCAGGGATGTGTGTGTGAGTGTGTGTGCATGCGTGTGTGTGTGTGTGTGTTATGATTTTGTTTCTGTTTTTTGGTTCAGGTAACAGAAAGAAAAGAATAAGGGTAAGGGGCATTAGATATTGGGAGTCTAGCATATAAGATTTTTCTCTTTAGTTGCTTGAGAAAGTGATAATGTGTTTTCCTTCAAAGATAGGCTCCTAGGCCCTCCTCACCCCACAGCTCTCCAAAGAAAACAAAACCACGTGCTCTGTTCCCACCCCTATAGGGTACATGAGATTTTTCGTTAAGTTTGACAAGGGCCAAATAGATGGACCATATTTTTAAAATCCTTGCAGAGGAAACTGGCACATTGAGGAGGTATTTTAATTCATTGGTTTATACAAACAGCATTGTTTTGTTTTACACATTGAATGGTAGTCATAAAAGTGATTTAATTATCTTTGGTTTTAATTTTTAAAAAATTTGTTTTAATCCTCACCTGATTGTATGTTTTTATTGATTTGTTAGAGAGAGAGAGAGAGAGAGAGAGAGAGAGAGAGAGAGAGAGAGAAACATCATCCAGCCAGGGCAAAAATTATTTAATTATTGATAAACAACTCTAGGAAAGAATATTGTGTCATATGAATTCTGTTTCTAAACTATGGGGTATGTGAAGTACAAAATTGTCTTAATGCCGTTTTAAATCTATAAGGAATCAAATAACAAATATAAAATGTGTCATGTGTGTTTGAATTTCTCCTTGTACATACAGCATCTTCTTTTGCACGTAAGGAACTCCGATTGCCTTAAATAAAGTGGCTTTATATCTCAGCAAGCTGCATGTGCTCACCAAACTGGTAGCATGACTTGTTAATGAAATCATTCTAAGTGTAAAGTGCAGAGCAGGGGGATGGGCTGAAATTTTGAGTCTGTATATGTTTGATTCTCAGATACTTGGCTATTCAAATTTAATACTATAAAATATTTCTGAGAATCTTGCAGTTGTATGAAATTGTCACCAAAGAGGGACAGAGATCTATTGTGAAATGTTTTAAATATATTAATTCTTAAATGAATATAACAGCATTATTGAACAACATGTTTTTGCCTTAGTTTCCATCTCCAACTTGAAATAGTCAACAAGATATTAAGCATCTAAAATTACTTACTCCCCCTTTTTCAGTCCTGGAGTAAGTGTAGTTTGATATTGCTTTTCTGAAAAATTAGAGTTATTATCATTTGAATGTCCTAGAACTGTTTAAGACTGAACAGTGTAAGACTGAAGGTTCTTAGAATTGATCTCGTTCACATCTCAGGTTTATTTGTCCTATTGTCCATATGTGATGGCGGAGGGCCCATCACAGTCGAAGCTAAAGCAAAAGCAATGTTGCAATATTACCATTATTAAAATGGAATCGTCCAATTACATTTAAAATACTGACCTGAATCCCTGCAGCATTTTTTATTCAGTTCTGTAAAAAGAAATAGATAATTTAGTTTGAAACCTT